ATAATACCATTATTTAATATATATAAAGATACCCAACCGCGGGTAATTCACGGCCGAGCGAAAGAAACCGTGTCGACATTTGATTAATAATTCATTTCAAATCGAAAGAAAAATAGCAAAAATTTCGCAAGAGATTTTTTGTAGCGCATTAAATATTAGCGATAATCGATGAACGCGTCTCCAGCTGGTAGAGCATTTCCATTTAAACATACCGATAAAAATAAAAAAACGTGTTCGTGATTACTTACTTTGTAAATACGCTGCTAAATCATGATCTTCCGCGATCAGAGCGAGTTGATGCGGCGTATTGCCGTGTCGATCTTTCACCATCAAAGATGCTCCGCCGGCTACGAGCATACAGCAAATAGAACGACGTTTGTTCTGAGCTGCTTTATGTAAAGCGGTTTGCCCTCTAAAATTAAAATAATTATCTCTCTTTCTTGAAATCAAGATATATATTAAATTGGATTAGAACAGAACTATAAGAATATTAGAGAAGAATGAAAGACTTGCGAGAAATTTTAGAAATATCTAATTTCGTGGATTAAATTTAATTTAAATTTTTGCAAACGCGTGAAAACTTGTATTCGTTATAACTTACTTGTCATTATCAATCATGTTTAAAATTGTCGGTGGGGCACAGGCAATGAGATATCTGACAATATCTTTGTGACCATTCTTTGACGCCAAGTGAAGCGCCGTTTGGCCAGTTTCGTCGATCGATAAAAGCGAGTATCCTTTTTGGTGAAGTTGCTTTAATGTCGAAAGATCGCCAATTTTCGCCGCTCTTAATATGTCATCGCAATTTTTCTCAAGCAATTCAGTGTTGAATCCGTGAACTCCCGAGCTTAGACTGAATAGTCTATCGCGGGGGCTGCAAATTCAAATCGAGATCTTTATTAAAAAGCTCCCCCCCCCCTTGCACAAAATTATTTTTATAATATTGTGCAATAAATAAATATTTATTATCCCAATAAAAATAATTTTAAAGCGAATAGTCGAACGAGAGTTTAATACATGTAATATATCGACTCGAGTTTAGTTTTCTCCTCAGAATAAACTATAATATGTTGTCGAGTTATGATACAAAAGTGTACCTTTTACATCTTCTAAGAAGCATTCGTGCGGAATAAAGCTTTACGTTATCTAGTTAAAAGCCGCCGATAATTTTCTTAGAGATATTTTCTTCCTAAAGAAGCTTTAAAGATTTATCTTTCAAACTTTATTTGACGTCACATAAATATTTTTTTCGGTCGCCTCAATTATTTAGATAATTAAAGTATATACTAAAATAATGTCCACGTGTAATATTGTTACCTGATAAAAGCGAGGGGTCGGTCTTGATGTTGATGCGATTGATCTGTATGGGCAATTACGACACGAGAATTCTGCTTGAGAGATTCGCGATTTATAAGAGAATTTGACTCGATGTTTACGTCCTCGCTCGGCGATGGCACATCCAATGAGTTTCGATTCGCTGGATTCTTTGATTTGACCGCGACATTTTGATCATCGGATTCTTTATCGAAAGAGATACTCCCGGAAAGTCTGGTTTTCTGAACGATGGAAGATCGTCTTTGTTTCTCGGCGTCTTTAGATACATTCGAAGTCCTTCGCTCCTCTGTCACGGCTGGCTTCTCCTTTAGATGTTCATCGCTATATCATATTCATATCATACGCTTGAGAGAAAGAATATAATTATTAGATTTTGTGCAAAAGAGTAGTCTTCGCGCATACCTTGGAAAATTGACTCGCGCCGTTTCCATTTCTTGATTAGCGATAATTTGGCTCGATCCAATTTGACCCTCGTGCTGTTGAACGGTATCTTCGTCGAGAACATAGACAGCTTCCACAGCGACATCCGTTACATAATGTAATTGTTCCTGGCCGCGATCAATTCTGAAGAATCTTTCCGTGGTGCATGCTAGAAAAAGACATCAGCCAAACATTTTACATATTCTTACGTCTTAGGAATGATGATTAGATCATAACATGCAAATATATAATTTTTTTTGAAACCACGCTTACAATCGAGAAAACAGCAAGAATCTACATTATAATCTTTCGCCAAGAGCTTTCTCAGAGTCTCCAGATCGGTTGTAGCATCGAGATCAAGCGGTTCCGCTAACCACAACTCTGCCGCTTCTTTTAATCTCTCCTTGTCGTGATAATACGTTTCGTAATCCGACATTTTTATCTTCATCACAGGCAGCTTTAGCCTCTCCAATTTCGCGATATTCTGATTAGGTTTGCCCGCGTTTCTTCTTTTCGTTAACATTGTAGCTTTGTTTAACATACTTAAAGTTATGATAGACGGTAGAAGGCGACAAGCTTCGCCGTCGACCTACAATATTATTAAAAATATCAAATATATGTATAGAGAGAATACGATAATAAATTATTGGAACAAATCTCAAAAATAAATTTATTAATCATCTTGGAATTTTTTCTTAAACCGTTTATTACTCAATGATTAGAGAGAAGAAATAAAATCAAATTAAAAAAAAAAAAGAGACATAGTTAAAAAATAAATTGATTTTACGTAAGAAAATCTACATATACGTAATAATAGAGAGAGATAACTCTGGGATATCGTGCATACATAAACAGTAAACTGCTATCAAAACAATGTGAACGCAAATTTTTACGCGATAAAAAAGATGCTTGCCTGCATCGGTATAGTTTTCGTTGTAACCAGTTTAGCTGTGCTGCATTGTACTATACAAGTACCATGTCCGCGTGCTTGCAAAAGAGGCAGTTGGTACGTGGTCAAACCGACAACCTCGATCAAACCGTCGTCCATGGCGGGTTCCCTGGTGCCGCTACTCGCGCTCCACGGATGTGTTCCACCGCCGTAAGAGGCGATGTTCAAAAATAATATAGCGTGAACTCGATGTTCCTTCAATTTCGGCGTCATGTCCTGACCGTCGCATTCCAATGTCACAAAATCTGAGAGATCCTTCCATTTTGTGAGCAATAAATCCTTGCAGCCCATCTGTCCGTAGAACAATTTGTTTCTCATTCTGGAGTTAAACTTCTCCGGATGAGCCTCTACAAACGATCGCAGATAATTTATCACAAGTTTTATAAAGTATAAGCAATTTTTTTAACATGGAATATACCGAATATAATGTAATCGAGAAAAAGAAATTCTCAAAATTAACAATCAACTAATCTATCTCATAATTAAAGAAATAAAATTACAACACGGAACATCAATCAACACGATTATTTCTATCTGAATTAAAGTTACAATGCTATCGGTTTGCCATTCGATATAATTTCGAGAGTAAAAATTATAAGCCTCGTGCTTCTCACCTCGGGCTTCGTGAAACTCGAGAGCAATGTGAGCATCCACGCCGAGAGAGAAATAATTGTTAACAACGTTAAGCGGCAAATTCTCCTTGCCCTTGCCTCCATCGTCGTCGCTCTTGGCGTCGTTTTTCTCAACCTTCAATTGCCATCTGTCAAGTAGAGTGGTCTCGCTGTCACCTATACTCGTCAAGATCTTTCCGATCGGTTCGTCTTTGTAACCGCCTCCCCATCCTAGTGCTCTCGCCAGATCATTCCCTGTGCCTAGAGGAAGTACTCCGACCGCCGGAGCTGGATACGCACCAATCTGATCCAGGATTGATAGAACCCAACCGACCGTACCATCACCTCCGCAAGCCAAAATACGCAAATTTGGAACTTTCTTGAAAAGTTCCAGTCTACAAGAATAATTTTTTTCAATCGGCTGTTTTCCTCCTTCATTCTTTCTCCGTCTCTCTCGTCTCTTTGCCAGTTAGCATTGTTTATGCATTTTATTGCGAACATTTTATATGTAAAATTATTCAGCAAAACAATTTACTCACCCCATTTTCGGGCCACCCTGTGTCAAATCGAAAACCTGTCTCGGATTGAGCAACCATTGAAACTTTTGCAGCAACTTCGCGCCCTGATTACCGCCGGATTTCGGATTAATGAAGACTAGAACGGGCTTTACCGTAGCCGTGGGAATGGGTTTAACGATCCACAGCTCTCCTTGATCTTTCTCTTTTTCTCTCTCCTCCTTCTCCTTATCCTTGCTTTTCCGGCGTCCGGAAGATCCGCTGCCGCCGCCAGATTTTTTCTTCCTGGGCGATCTTCTCAGACTGCTCTTAAAGCTTCCCTTTCGCGGAAGTTTGACGATCCATGACGGCGGCACAATGATCGACTCGTGAGTGCCCAATTCGCAATTCTCACCTATCTTGTGAACGTTGAAACACGCTTCCTTGTTGTGATAAGCGATCTTGCACCAGCTGCAACTCACCGCCACGATCTCTCTCGAGCTGAAGCTGAGCTTCGATTGGAAAGATTTGCCGCAATTGGCGCATTTACCCTTCTGATATCGTCGATGAACCCAGTGATGGTGGGTTGTAGTTTGTTCGCGATACTGACGCACGCCCACATCGCGAAAGCTTGGCTTGCACGCGAACTCTAAACTTGCGACGCAGCAGGCATGTGTTACTACACGGCAAGCGGGGCATTTCAATCTGGGTCCGTGTTTCTAAAGAAAGAATAACATATCGAATATAATATCAAATTAATTAAACAAAATTTCGAGCATATTTTTGTTCTTAAAAGTATTGGCGAATTTGGTTGAAAGCACTAGCGCGCATTAAAAGCTATCGCGTATACAAATTTACAATACGCAAGTAACTAAGACAGTAAGATAAATTTTATATATAATAAATAACAATATATATATATAATAATAACTCTATATATACTTTCTTTTAATACATAAACACGTATATGGTTTTAGAGGCGCTCAGTATTACTGTCCTAGTTTATGGAAATATTCTGAGTAATAATTTATGTAAGGTAGCGCTATTTTTAAGTGGAATCGTAAATAGAAGAAAGAGACAGAAATTGTGCTAGCACGAAGATCTCTTTATATTTTCTACGTATTTTTTCCAGTCTTCTTATTCTATTATACAATTAATTTCAAAATTGCTGATAATAAAAAAACAAGAAATAAAAAAGAACGTTTATAATTCAAGATATAGAAAGTGTATAGATCCGTTCAAATCTATCCGAGAATTCATAAAAGATCTGGAAGGTATTGAAAATCGTTATAGAAAAGAAATTCAAGTTTTCCATATTTAAATTAAAAATCATATTTTATTACAATCAATTATATAAAAATTATACAAAAAACTTAAAATTATTAAATTAAATTAATAAATAATAAACGAAGAAGATTAATAAAAAAGATGGTAGAAATATAAAATATTTATTACGGTTTTGTAATAATAAAATTAGAAATTTGATTTTATTATTAAAATACTTTCACATCTAAGCATTTTAGTAGATATAAACTCCTGTAAATCATTACATATTCATAATCCTTTTGAAAAAATGAAATTTTTATACCAAATTGACTCGTTCTAATTTTCTGTTTTATTTCAGTCTATTTCATGTTCTACCACCTTTTTTGAAACAATTAAAGCTAGGCTAAATCTAGTATTCATGGTTTTATTATAAAGATGCGAAAAGAAAAGTAAAAACAAAATTGTTTCAAAAAATTCAACTCATATATTAATAGATTAATTAAATCATTCAGAGTGGAAAAGATATGAATCAAGAGGGAACATACAAATCGAGACGCAATTAAAAATATTAATGCCTATATTGATTAAGGCGATATTTGATCGCATCGCGTGATATTTAAAAAAGGATACTGCGTCCATTTAATCAGACGTACCCACCCTATCGGAAGTCGCGATTCCTTTCCGGGCAGCAACGCCGTATACCTCGTGCGAACGTCCGTCGGCAGAACGATGTCGACGCTCTTTGACCTGATACTCTGCTGCGGCACCGCCAATAAATCCGCATCGCTGACGCCTCCATTTTTATTGTTATTAAAACACGAGTCTACGGAGGCTGCGCGATCTCGTTTCAGCTCCGGCACGGTCAGAAATATATCGCGCACAACGAGCTTGGACTTGCTCGGCTCGACGTCGTTCTCGTCGTCGTCGTCGTCGTCGTCGTCGTCGTCCGCCGCGACAGTCGGTCTAATCGTTGTCTCCAACGGCACGGCGGGTGGTTCGAGGGGAAAGGTGGTGAGAGCCTCCTGCCTGGATAGCTTCGGCGAGGCGAGCGATCGTCTGCGTTGCCTGTGCTCCGAAAATTCCAGCACTTTGATTTCGGAATCTAATTCGGGCACGATCTCGACTATGGGCGAGACACATCGCGGCTCGCTCGGCACGTCGTCGGGCGTGAGGATAACTCTGATTTCCGGGCTACCTTCTCTTTTACTGTTAGACTCGTCCTCATGATCCGACTCGTTCTCGGAGAGATCTGAATTACCGCTGTCGGCCTCTTGGAGCCCCTCGGCTTCAGCCTCGTCCTTAGAAAAGTCCTCGGCCAGCCAGAGGTTCCTGTACTCCTCGACGCAGGCACAATGGTAACATCCGGAGACTTGGATGATCGGCGTTTCCGGTCGCTCGATTCCACCGAGCAGTAACTGGTGGCCGGCGAACGATCCGGAACTTCCGGAATACGCGTCGAAGCTCTTGGATCGTTGGCCGGTCTGCAGCTGCGGCACTTTGAGAGTAGACGAGCCTCTCCTAACGCGAGTCGAGTCCTGCGATCTCGCGGAGGAACACGTGGAGGACGACGAGGAGTTTGTACGATCGTCCCGTCCTTTCGCTTGTAATTGTATCTCGTCGAAGGAGGCCGACCTGATTTGCTTGGGCACCTCGAGGCTAGATTGAGACTTCATTTCCGCTCCCGTGGGAGTGCGCGACCTCTTGAAAGTTGAGCGCAATCTCTGCATTCTCTAGCCTGATAGCTACCTGGCCACGCTGTTGTCCACGTTGATGGACATTCCGTTATTATCTCTTAACGGAAACGACCTTTCAAATGAAATTACTTGATCAATCACGTTGTTACCCTCTTCCCCTTCCTCCCCGTCGTCCAGATCGGACTCGCGGTTGCCGCCACGTTCTTCTCCTTGTTCTTCAATCGCCTTCTTGCACTTTAGAAAAAATAATGATGACGACGACGACGACGCGATCGTCTCTTTATCCAGATTAAACTTAGCTGCCGATTTGCAGCCCATCCTAAGTATCTTTGCTGCTAATGTTACACGAGATGTTGGAGTTTTCAAAGGTCTCTTAAAATTATTCGAATGGATTTTAATCGTCAGATTACAGTGAAAAGATGATGATATCAAAAATTAAGAGATGTATTTATTAAAGTCGGAAAGAAGATACAATCTTTCATTTGACGTGAAGCACGAGAAAAGTTAGTTTATTTCAAAGCAATTTCAGAATGCGTCCATACGCAATGTTACGATATAAATTTCGTAGAAATGTGCGGCCACTGTCAATTTTGACATTCGCTGCTGATCGATGTTGATTCGAATGCAAAATTAGTCACTGTTTTCGTATATTGCGAGATTATTTCAAAATTACATCGCTTATAGACTGTTGGAATTCAGTTTTCGCTGTAGCAAACTTATTATAGTTTTATTCGGCTCGTTGAAATATCGAATGCGTTGACCAGCTATGTGCGAACGAAAAGTCATACATACAGCGAGAACGACCTCGGCAAACTTGACGGTATTACGACGAGGTAGACAAACTTTTATCCCATCATCGTTCTCGTTCTCTCTTTCTGTGTCTTTCCACTCACACCCACTCTCCCTTTCTCCTCTTCTCTCCTCACTACCGCCCTCACGGCACGGCTCTCACCTCTCGAGTGACTAGCATCATCGATCGAGTTTTTCAGCACCGGAATTTATTTTCACGATGATAAAGATTCCGTCGTCGATGGTCACTGATAGGGAATCATGAGCATCACTGAGGCGGCACGACAGCCCCCAGGTGATTTCACAATCAAAGATCAATCTATTCTCGTGTCACTGTTATGTTAAATATTCCAGTCGTCGATATCTTGGAGGTTCGATGCTCGCGACGTCATCAAATGCTCCCTCCTTAAAGATATCGACGATTAACAAAACGACACAACGATGAGGATCAAAATTCTTTGGATTTTTCCAGGACGATGCTATTGTCCAATGGCAAAAATATGTCGAGATTTCGGAAATTAAATCACCCTGTGTACCATCGATTCGGATACGTTTTATAAAACGAATATTCCGCTAAAGAGGCTTGATAAGTCGAGAGCGACCTTCGCCACGTCGGTCGATCCATATTCTCGATCAATGATAGAACACATTCCACCGAGAAGCTCGCGCATCATCGCACCACTCTCATTGTCCTCAAGAACCGTCTCCTTCCCTCCTTGTCTCTCTGTCTCTTGCAAACGCGATGTCCTTAGAAACGGGGGCATTACAAAAGTACCTGTAATATACCGTGTACGAGATGCCAAAAGCCTCGTCGTGCGAGGGACGAATTCATCGCGATTCTCTTCGTCCCTCGTTCACGCGCGGTCGCTTTTGGAATTCTCGCAACCCCGAAGTCTCTCGAAATCTCTCGATACGTCGCGTGTCACGAGCAACCGATCCTTAACGAGGCGACACGGCGTGGCGAGATTGCCGGTCGGACTAACGGCCAGGGCTCGTCGGTGACCGTTGTCGAAAGGGGTAAGAAACGCGCCGGGGGTTGTTTCGTGCACCTCCTTCTCCCTGCTCATGCGCCTTTCATAACGACGGATCACTTCTCGCCGAGTGTCATGATCATGCGCGCGATAATAATAAGCGTACAACCAGGAATCGGAGTTTATACGGCAAAAAATGAGCGAGCAATCTGATACCAATAATTATCGAATAGTTGATAATTTATATTATTCGAATATTTTGATATTTGATCGTATTTTTTCGAAAATTCGAATATTGAGACTTTTACTATAGAGTATAATTTAAACTTTTCCCAAATGCCAAGTATATCTTTATCTACGTAATTCTTTCATTAACGCGACAGAATGTACATCACTTGTCTCTTTAAACAGCAAATCCTCTTTGATATTCTTTATCTTCTTATATGTTAGATAATCACTTCATTAACTACTTGTTAACTTTTCGCAGTTCAATATTATGCTTTTAAAAACTAAGCTTCTCGCGAGACGAAGGACTCATGGAAATTGCAATCATAATTGTTTGGCGTAAGAGTTTAATAGTTCCCCACCTCGTAACGACGCAAAAGTGCGATGTAGGTTGCAAATTAGAAGCATTGTTGCTAATAACAATCCAATGTCATTAGATCAAAAAAATATTCTTTAATGCGGCAAACACGTCAAGTGTAATATTGAGCAAAAAAAAACGCGATGCTCTTTTTTATAAATTGTCTTTAAAAAAGCCGAATGATTTTACACTTTTTCGTTGGAAAAATACTCGATTTTTAAAAATTCTTTAAAAAAATAATCATTCTTCAAATCCATTAATTAGCTGCTGACCTTTCTTCCGAATCGGGCGATATCGGAGGGTCTTCGCGGCATCTTAAGTTCGTGCCCTCCGCAAAATGCACCCGTTGTCCTAGCTTCGGGGCCAACTCGAGCAACCTACAATGCACACGACAAAAGCCCAGATGGTGGTATACGATCAGCATGAAGAGCATAATGTCTATATCTTTAGCCTCCTCCGTCTCACCTTCGTCCCGCGCGTTCCCTCTAGAGAATCGATCGACTTAACAAAGATCGACGACTCAGTGCAAAGGAATTTCTGGTCGAATCTTCGGATAATTTATTGTTATTAATTCGAGTTGTGTGAGTCTCTTCGGCACATTATCTGTATGTAATTGTGTAAATCTGATCGTTATATAGTAAGTAGATGGTAATGATGTAAAATAATAGAGCTCAGATACACAGATTCGAACAAATTGTGCAATCGAGTTGTAATCGAATTGTTGGAATAGTTCCAAGTAGAAACATTGCAGTTTTATGAACAAAGTCTATCAAAGCATTATTTCCGAATAAAATGCGATATACGCGCCATTAAGAAGAACACTTCGTATGCAGTAAAAATATAAATTAATCTCTTTTATTTTCTAAACTAAAAAAAGTAAATTGTGATGAATAAAATTCAATATCTTCAATGATGCTGTTTTTAATAAGAAATATTTCAAAGAGAGTCTTAAGAGTGTAAAGTTTATAAAAAAATTTTTAACGCTTTATAATAAACTGTATGTATTACGAATCTAAGTCTGGTCTAGACTTTCTAATTACGTAAACAAACTTGAAATCTTATATAAAATAAATAAGGCATAATTTTTACAAATTCAACAAGACAGTTTCGCAAAATTGCACAAATAATATTATTTGCGATATTACTTATGGATAAAACGCGATTATTGTAGATAAATGATCAGAGAATGGATGCATATGGATCCAAAACTCACGTAAATTTTATCACAATTAATTCCTCAGTCGTTGATTTATTCGCCGATTCCGATTTCAAGCAACATTTCGAGCACTTCAGCCAATCGACGCTCATCTCCGGTCGGTTTCCTCGAGGTACGTCGATGCACGACTGGTATGAGAAAAAAAAACCCGCAGAAACAATTGCGGCGAACGATTGCTATACCGCCTGCACTCTTGTTCCCGCTAATCTTTCGTAACTGCGCGAATTATGTCATATTTCCACGTAATAACACATGTTTACCATTTTTTCAGCAATAAGCACGCCTCCTATGCATTCTCATATCCTGTTACCGACTGTCATTGATGTCATTACTGTTCTTATTTCTGATTGAATCACACGCGCACTCAGTGATCGAATTGTGGTATCCATCACAATTAATTTCTAATTATGTCGCGTTACGGAAATATTTGTTTCAAGGATTTCGTCGAGGACACGATAAGAGCGTGATACTGTTAATTCGACACGGCGTACGGATGTTGACGACGAATAACACATTGAAAAAATTGTATTAACAAATCTCTCGAAATTTTTTCAAAGGAAAAAGTTAGCAGAAAAATCTATTACTAAAATTATATTAGGACAAGATTATATGAAAATTTTTTTTCACTTAATTCCTTCTTATCGCCATATCTCTATTGATTTTAGTTTCTCTCGATACCAAATGTTATATCTTTTAACATTGTACACTAAAGAGAGACGATCAAATATTTCCTTGTTTGCACTTTTTTCGAGTTATCGTCTTCCTTAAATATTTATTCAAGTCACTGTCATATTCACTGTAAAGTTTTTGCATAAACTCAGTTACATACACGGAAATTACATCTAAATGGTATGCACAACTCAAAATATGTGTCTGCAATGAAACGATCGCAAGACAGATTGTGAGGCAACTTATAAGTCCCGTCTCTTTAGTGCTTTGCCATGTTTGTCCTTCTACAGCCGATGACAGTGAGAGCGGAAACTACAGTTTCGTTCACGAGTACACACATCGGGCGCTTGTTCTACATTCGTGTGAAATTATTAATTGCAAATTGAAGTCGAAATCGCGGGAACTCGTATGTACGGCGACTGTAAGTTAAATCGTTAAACTTTATGCTCGCATTTAAGCTTGATCAGCAGTCGAGTGTTTCTTTGAAAAAATATTTTTCGAATCAGCGTTAATGAAGGGCACTGTACCAATGCAGCGAGTTCAACCAACCGGTTTCTCCTTCACGAGAACTCGCTGCAACGAAATATTACAGAAGGAGGATCTTTAAATTGCCGAAAAACCCGTTTTTTATAGGGCTGTACTTTCTACGCTTGTTTTCGTGCCTTTTACATACGCTTCTTAACTATATTTCAAAAAAAAATATAGCTAGTAATAGATTGCTTGAAGTTACCGAGGAGAAACATGACCTACCGCTTTTAAATTAATGAAAAGATGTTTTCAGAAAAAGTAAAGTGCCGGACTAAAGTGCTTGTGCAAATAAAAGATAGGTTACGTCGTGAAATATTCTTTATTCTCACCCTTCATCAATTGTATCATCTTCTTCGTATTCCTCTGCCTTCCGCTCACTCTCCTCTGTCATGTCTTGTGTTTCAAGCTCCCGTAGATTGAATAAACTCAATTACGAAAATTCAGAAATTAGACGAAAATTCGGCAAGAGACTTTTTCAACATAGTTGCTGTCAGCAGAGTGACACGAGCGATAAAGAAACATCATTCGATTGGTGATGATTCTTGCGATTTCATCATTTCACCCTTCATGACTGACTTATTCGCAACAGCTCGGGATCTCGTCGAGCTTATTATGGCTTCAGAAGACTCGCAAAGTCACAATTCTATTTTCCATAATGCCGTAATGGCATTATAGCTTATCTATATACACATATATCTAAATCACACGTAGCATGCGTGCGTCAAAAAATAATAACGTAAAACCAAGTGTCAACATGTGAATTTTTATATCATATTATATGTATATATATATTGCATCTCGATACATTATATCAATTTAATTTAATTTCTTTGTCATATTGGATAGATCAATTTTAAGAATTTGAACGGACATTGTACACAGAGAAAAATATTATTCTATTGCTAAGTAAAATGATTGCTCAGTTTACATTTTTTTGTATGTATGTATTAATTGTGATGTTGCGTTTCTTTCCGCGGTTTTTATATCAAGCATTTTTTTGCACGCAATGTTTGTTTATTGAGAATATATCACGCATTTTTATGCTTAATAGTTCCGTTTATTATTATTGCTACGATTTGTTCTTCACCTACTTAGTGTTTCGCTTAAAAATCGATCGGACCAAGTCTATTCCTGCATATCTCAATCCGCTTTTACAATTTTTTTGCATTTTATCGTGCCTCAAGCGGGTCGGGTTCGATCGAGATATATCGATCTCCGCTCCATTATCTCGGAGGAAGGAGGTCGATTGTCGCTTACCTCATTGAAAAAATGGCGCTCTCGGTACAGCCGTACCGTGGTCAGCACGCCGGCGTTTCTCCGTTTCCTGCCTTCGTCATGGTCACACCGGAGATAGGATCGCGACCGTTTTTTCCACCGTTACGCGATTCAACGCCACAACAAGCGATACGTTCTCGCGAAAACGCGGCCGTTTGTTACAAACATTTGCATGTCGTGAGACAGACACACGAGTATACAAACAGACAGCGAGCGAAGCTCGTTTGTTCGTCGACGTGCTCAGGTGAACGAGCTCGAGTACCAAGCACTTGCGTCAACTCGCATTTGCATCTTAGTAAACCGAACCGGCATTGTTAAACGAACATCCGATGTCGATGCTTAGGTGGGGTTCAAGACCGAGAGTCTCCCGAAATGGATACTTATTTTATCGAGATATACTTGATTCGAAACGTTGCTATAGATCCATAATTGATCTGCTCAGTAATCGCGATCACTTCAGATAAACTGGATGAAAATAGTTTCCAATTCGCACGAATAATCAACGGCACTATACATCGATACTTGACGCAATAATTTATTCTCGTTTAATGTTCTTTGCCAAAATGCGAAGAAACGTGAAACTTTAGACAGAACGCTGAGTAAATTATCCGTTATTTCGATCGATCGCAAGCGAACGGGATTTCGAAAGACCGTTGTATATGGCCTGAAGGACAACTCCCTTATGAAAACTATTATTTAGTACCTGTTACACACAGATACTCGGCGATAACTCTCATTAATTCTTAATTAATGTACGCTCGCAACGTTGAGCCGAAGGTCAATTGCTTCGTTATTTCGACCGGTTCGCGCGAATGGAATTTCCAGATATAATCTAGGCAAGCCTAGACGGACACACTTTCGGCGATACTACACATGACTCTCGCACACACTTAAGATAGACCGTTCCTCCAGACGAGGAGGATCGAAATCGCGACGGAGAGAGCGCGCGAAATCCGGAGGAGTACACGGAGGACTCGGCGGCTTACCATTATAAATAGTTGCGTCCGAGACGACTAGAGGCTCGCCACCAAGTGTAACTTGGACAGAGGAAAGAGGGAGAACGACAACGAGTCGTCCGATGAAGGAAGAGGACGGGCCAAGCCGGAGGGAAATAGCGATACGTCAGTGTTAGCGATGGACTCGAGCGTCAATCGGGACGGCTTGACCGATTTCACCTGATGAATTGGTCGCGTTTACTGCTGCTTGGCGTGGGCGACGGATCTAAACTTGGAATTGAACTTTAAGAAGAGCCCGTTCGAAATTGAGAAGCGACGCGCAAAACACGTATAATATTAATCGAACAATTCCATCTTTCCCGTCTTCTATCTTTCAACTCTATTCGCAAAGGGATCATTTCTCTCGTACTTTTCTGTTTTTTAAAGTTCGCAGATTGTTTTGCGATCACTCATACGCCAAGAATGAACAATAAATGATCTCTGTCACGCGATTTATAATTCTTGTACATACTATTTAATTTCTCCCTGCGCTTAAATGGATTTATAATATATCGGGCGAGTGAACAATTAATCGTCAACAGAACAGACAGATCGACTCCATCGCTAATCACGTCACTCGCCTCGTTCCGTTCTCGTGCCACCGTACTATTGTTCTCATCCACGGACCTGCTTGCAATTCTAATCGCGGTGGATTGTCTTGTGTATGTTCCTGTCAACTTGCGGCACGATCTTACACTTTGCAGTCATCAAGCAGCGAGTCTTCTCTCGAAAATCTATTTCCGAAGACGATTTTTTCCTGGCATCGTATTCTAGCTCTTTTGCGTATCGCTATGCTATTTCCGAGAAATTATTCTTACATTTACGCGAAATTCGCGTAATGTTTAACTAACTCCAATGTTTTTCGCGCGCCTTTTATTCCGAGAATAATGTAATGAATCAAATTCCATTCACACTTTAAACTCAATTTTTGACAGAGATTTTAAGTAAACTTGAAACTTTTTTTTTAATCTAAAAGTTTTATACGCTTGTTAAAATTGTCGCTACAATTGTTAGCAAAATAATTATGTGCGAATATTGTCAAAATTTTTTACCGTGTCAAAATTAAATTTGTCAGTTCGAAAGAATATAGTATAGATGTAGCAACCATTTTCACAGGTGTAAAACTATTTAATTGTATATTTTGTACGATTGCCAATATCAATATCAATTTATTAGTATTTATACGATAAAACGATCAAGTATATTTTTGATAGGCTTTGCCCGCTAAAAATTCATTTCGATGAAATTATACTCGACACGAATATACCGTAATCCCATGAAAATTACATATCGCGTCGATATACATATTCGTTATGACATCGCTAAAATATTGTTTTTAACCGAAATTATACTCGACACGAATATGCCGTAATCCCATGAAAATTACATATCGTCGATATACATATTCATTATGACATCGCTAAAATATTGTTTTTAACCGACACCGCAAGCGAATCAGCACTTCCGGAACTCAAGGACGATACTGCAATTTAACGATAAGACCTATCGCGAAAACAATGTATGACATAATATACAGAGGATGATTCATTTCGAGTTTCAGAATTAAGTGTCTTGAAACCTATTGAAGGTGGACGAAAACGATATTAGAGTTTCTTTTCTAAATGGCTGCTTTTGCTGTATTATATCTTTGCGTTTTTTCAATATCGTAGAATGATCTAAATTATCAAGATAACACACTATATATTTCTGGGTTAAATTTTACGTTCTTGCGACAGATTTTATATGATAAACCTCTTTATTTCAATAATTTGTGTTTTTGTGTTTGTACAATATAATAATAGTAATAGTAATAGAAGTAGTAGTAGTAGTAGTAGCAATAGTAACAATTGCAATAGAAGTAGTAGTAGAATAGTAGTAGTAATGGTAGCCGTAGTGGTAAAAGTGACAGTGAGATAGTAAAGGTAGTAGAACGATAAAATTTACTACAAGAGAATAACATCCGTCACATTCGTCTCGTTTCAATCTTGAAGAAAAAAAAAACTTGATGTAACGTAATGTAAGGATGGAGATGAGAGTTTTTGGAAATAGATGGAAGACGCCGTCATATATGGGCATTTTTTACTGTCACCACTGACTACATTCGACGGTTCGAAGAAATGTTAACGTGAGACTGTGCAATGACCATTTTGAGAATTTTTCAAATATTCTTCTTAATAACTGTATACACGTGCCGAAGCAATTAAAAGGATTTATTCTTCCTCTTCCTCTTCCTCCTCTTCCTCTTCTTCCTCCTCCTCTTCTTCCTCCTCCTCTTCCTCTTCCTCCTCCTCTTCCTCTTCAACTTCTTCCTTCTCGCCACCCTCTTCTTCCTCTTCTTCGTCAAATTGCGGCTCCTCAAGATCGTCGTCGACGGCAGCCTTTACGTCCTCCTCACCCTCTGGTGACTCGGGATCACCAGGCTTTTTGCCCGGTCGTTCGCCGAACCACTTAGGTAACTTCGCTATTATCCACGGAAAATAACAAATTAATTTCGTACAAGATGCGATTAAAAAAAGAATGTTAAATTTATTAATATTTAAACGGAGAATTTTATGAAAAAGTAAGCAAAATATTTTGAACTGTACAGAGAAACGACTCTTTAGCAACTCTAGAAAATATTAATTATAAAGCTAAGATATTTTAGAGCGGAATAAATTCCAAATTGAGTTTTAAATAATTTTAAAAAAATATAAAGTTAATTATATTTATTAAAGAAAAATATATGGGCGTGTGTATATCTCAGCGCTTCGAGGAGTGCCGGAAGCACTTTGAAAACTTTTAGTTCCGGCTTGAAGTCTCGAAAGCGGAGATCATACGTACTCTTCTGACGACCCATAAACTGTTCCTTTTGTTGGGCCCATTGTTTCTCCATGAACTCCTTTTGCTGCTCGGTCAGACCCTGAAACACCAATGGACAGAATGGCATGCTAGGAGTTGTTCTCACACATCGGGAACTTTTGTCTGGGAAAACCCTTCCTCCATACTGTCGCTTTTCCTGGGTCGTAAAGATCTCTCCATGACGAAGTTTGAGGGTTGAGGGATCACGATTTGAAAGAATTAATGTTAAAAAATCTCGTGAAATTATCCTCCAACGGTTCACGATCTTCGACGCTCGCTGACGAATTTTTGGATTTCGCGCGAAAAGGAGAATCACAAAAATTCTGCCCTTATCGAGAGGGAATATCGAAGATAACGTATCACATTTTTGTAAAATGAACAAATTCACAGACACCGACAACGTTATTACAATAAGATTATTTTCGTGATTGGTGACTGCTGTCGCATCTCTCCATGCTGGCAGTGCATGTAAAAAATTGCTATCGGTGTGAGCACAAATTACGGTATATCGTGCTTTTACGTACACCATTGAAACAACACGAACACAACAATAACTTGGCTGGTAGCTATCTCGACCGTTTAGTCAACGTGGTACAAGAAAAGAAATTAGAAACATGATCGTTGATGAGAATTCTGGGAATGCAATTAACAAGACAAGCAAAGGTGGGTGATACAGTGACAGAGAGATCACGGGTGGACTCACTTTTGGTTCGCTTCATAAATTGTTCCGATCTCTGTTTCCATACTTTCTCGCTCGTCTCCGCTAAGAGCGTGTCATAGCCCTGTGATTCAATCGACATATGCTCACTAGTCACTATTTTTATATCGGTTTATATTTCTATCACATTTTTTATAGGCTGTATTTTTATATTGTACAATGGAAAAAAAAGAGTTCTTATATTTTTATGTAGAACACATTTGATAAAACTGCATAAAAAGTAGCACACCTTTGATTTAATCGCCACTTAAATATATTATAGGGAAGGTTTTTCTGAGTAATTTCCCGCAAAAAGTAAATGGGGGATGGCATTGATTTAGGAGATATAACAAATTGAAGTTTCACGGTTTTAATGCTTTTTCTCATGTATTATAAAGTAATATTAGGAAAAGTAAAGTTTGTGTATGTTGTATTTGTTGTAAAGCAGACGAAAAAGTGTTTGTTTACATTTATGGAATAGATACACGGTCATGGATATTTTGTCAATAATGTGTTTCAGCTATTTGTCGCAGTTCGTTAACAGCTTTCAACATGCGATGACTATATGAATTTCTAAGTCTTGTTGAAAGTAGGAATAAGTTAATAGTAAATTTTAGTTTTAAATCAGAAATAGCTTTGAGTGTATACCTATCCCATAAATGTAACACTTTTTCCACGTCTGCTCTACACAAATACAACGTAAACAAACTTTATTTTTCCTTATTTTATAATAGAAAAAGCATTAAAACTGTGAAACTTTAATTTGTTATATCTTTTAAACTAATACCGTCCCCAAATTTCTTGCGGGGAATTACTCAGAAGAATTTCCCCTACAACATTTTTAAGTGGCAATAAAATCGGAGGTGTGTTATCTTCTTATCTTTTACGCAGTTTTACCATACATATATATGTGGCAGTATCTTTTATATTTGATAATGTTGATATTCTCCATGTAAAGATGGGCTCGTGTAAAAATGTCGTAAAATAAGAATTTTGTCAGGGTGTAATATCGTAAAAAAGTATAAAAAGAAGTGTACAAAGAATATACTTACACCTTCGAAGAGTTTCTTCTTATCGTCATAGGACCTGGTATCGACGCGACGTTCGTATTTTGAGGCAACTTGGATCTTCGGCTGTGAAAAAGGCGACAATTAATGTCGATATCTATTTTTTTTTTCTTGTATATGATAATCAAAGTTACGTACAGGATATTTGCCAGTTAAAGCCTCGGGATCGAGACCCTTCTTCAAGGCTTTGTGCCTCAGTTGTTGCTTCTGACGTTCCTTCAGCTCTTTAAGCTACGATAAAAGGGCAATATCGATTTATCAATGTAGCACAAAAACAACATAAACTATAATTAAACTCTTGTCTGTGTAATTTATTTCCCTAGCGGAAATGGTCAATGTATATTTCGTTTACTTTCTTTTTTTCTTAATTAAACTACAATATATAAAAATATTATACATACACGCGCGTATATAAATAAAAATATATTTTTATATAATTTTTTATACGGTTAAATTTATTTCTCTTTACAAAATTAAAATTATATAAAAATCTCGAAATAGGCGAGGCACTTTTCTTTAGAAAATAATGTTAGAATGCAGAAATTTTGTTAAGGAGTTGATAAACCCACCTTGTTCAAACAAAAGTAAAACAGTGTTTTTACGATCGTATGAATTGATTGTCAAAACTCACATCGTAATCTTGACGCTTTTGTCGCTCCTCCAGATCGTACTTTTCGGTTTCAAGTTTGACTATGCTCTCCCACAATTCGGTAGCCTTAGTACGAAGCTTGTCAATGGACAGATTTTCGATCTCCAACGGTTTGATACGAATGCTGAGGGAGATTTTCTTCTCTTCCTCGAGTTGTTCCTTCGTCTTGTTACGCTCAACTTGCGCCGATGTAAGATTACCCTGCGCGTTTACATATAAAGAATTCGCAATTTCAAATTGTGTTGCAGATAATTAAAAAAAAAAAAAATACTCGGTTCTACCTCCAAACCCTTCTTAGTGATGGTGAAGTTTGGACCCTTAGTTTTGCTCTGATCTTTCATCGCTTGCATCATAGCCTGTCGCTTCTTTTCCGATTCCTCCAAGCGCCTAAAATATAGCAAGTGAGATAAAGCAATGAAAAAGCAAATATATCGAATAGTATACAGGATATTTTATAAAACAAATGTAAAAATGTAATTTAGTGTGAAAATAATTTTAAAAAATATAATATTATATCAAACATTGTTCTTCTATTTTATTCCAAGTAACGATTAAATATAAGAGATAAATTTTATTCATTCGTAATATAATTTTGCAAGTTTAATTTCGCTAAATTATTAAGAAATTAAAACCAAGTATAAGGCTTGTATATATAATAAAAAATATCAAATATAATTTACATTACTAACAAATTAGATGCACTCGTTCAAATCTTATATTCAATATAGCCTTTTTCTCTAAAAATACATATATCCCCAGCAAATTTTTTACATTCGTTATTTAAAATATCTTGTAGAAATAATCAAATCAAACACATTCGAAGATGAAATATTTACTTTCTTTTCTCTTCGATATCACGTTGTTTCTTCTCCTCTGAAAAATTTCAGAAAGCTCGATTAAATGTGTAGATATGTTTAAGGGAAGAAAGAAAAAAAATTGCATCATTTACCGATTTCACGTTGGCGACGTTCCTCCTCCTCCTTCTTCTTCTGGGCCAATCTCTTCTCCTCGTCTGCGCGAGTGATCTTGCGCTTGGCTTGTTTTTCCTAAACGCAATAGGCATATAATCTTTAAATGAAGCGTTAAATAAATATGTAAAAAGGAGAAAAAAACAGGAAATATATAAAGTGAAGATTGTACCTTTAATCTCTTCAGCTCGTCCTCTTCCTTGGCTCTCTGCTTTCGCCATTCCGCTATGTATTCTTTGAGCTGTTCGTCAAGATCGCTTCTTTTCTGTTCTTGCCTCTGAATTTTTAATGATAAATTATTGTCACATGTGACACGCGCAATTGTATATTTGGTTTAACGATCGTGCTAGAGCCCAACGCGTATGCGAAGGATAAACGAAAGTGGTATATTTCGATACGTTACAATTACTTATTTATAATAAAGTATCGAAGCGTTCAGAGTACGTTTCGATGGTTTTTCATAAATAATTCAATCACGAGAAGGCGCATGGAGGGTTGGGCACTGCTCGACGTGTTTATATCGGATACCAACGCTCACCTTCATAAACTCGATATTCTCGCCAGATTCCCTGAAGAAGTTGACCGGAGCGAGAACAAAAGTAACTCTCTTTAAATCACGGTTGAGTTCGCTCTTTGGAAGATCTCGCGAGATCGCCCAGAACTCCGTACGCGATTCTCACGTCCATCTCCATTACTTTATATTACAACTCCATCCATTCTCTCTCCCGTAATGCATATTATTCAATGCCGCTCGTCGCACGTATACACACACAGACAACACATGGGCGGAACAGTACAGACAGATAGATACACGGACGGATAAACAGAAAGTCAGAGAGAAAAAGACAAAGAATGGAGGACAGAGAGGAGAAGGCAGAGGGGTAGAAAGAAAGACAGAGAAAGAAAGAGAAAGAAAAAAATGAAAGAGGAAGAAAGACATCAGTAAAGGGAAGAAAAAGGCAAATAGGCAAATAATGTGCAAGCATGTAGAAAGAAGAAACCAAAGTGCGCATCGTAGCGAATCGGGAGAAGGCATTAATGAGAATAGCGAGGGATCCCATGACTATCTTGGATGAGTTACTCATTCATGAAGATTTTTGTAAGCGACTAGAAGAAAAAAATATATATACATATATATATATACATATATATGTATAAGAGAGACATGGAGAAAATAACCGCGTTCACATTTTCATATACAAGCGTATCTAAAAATCTGGAGATGAGAAATTTGAGCGGGCGTATCGGCTTCAATATTGTAACGTTTTATTGGATTTTCGAGCCGGAAAACAGTTCATCAAAATTCAACGGGAACACGATTCCTGTTCCGAAAAATATGTCGCTGGAAGAGAACGTGAAATATAGGAAGATATTGCTATTGTTATCGGATTTTTTCGCTATCCCTTTCGAATTAAAGCGTTTCGTTGAAATTTGCAATATTTTTAAGCAATTTATATAAAGTAAAAGATATCGGGGTATAAAAATCATTTATTAATGAGGTTTGCGGGCACATGGCTATTACTGCTTGCGAATCGATCAATTGTGGCGTAAAGTCAATATAATTAATGAGAAAAATCGTACAACAACTGAGCCTTGAAGTATAAGGGCACGACACCACTTTGACGTAAATCGAACAAGACGTGATTATATACAACTCGTTAATTCGTTATTAATCAGAGAGACAAAACGTGTAAAACACGCGAGGGTGCGAAAGAGATATAAAGTAATACGAGGGGAAAGGGGGGGGGGGCAGCTTCGAACACTGACAACGATTGATTAGATATCATTGACAGGATTGAGATCCAAAACGTCCTCGAACAAACTACGATTCGACTTTTGATTTATCGCGCGATGCAAAATGCACTTAACACGATTTTGCGACCGTTTTTTTCCGACCGAAAAGATGCATTCATTTATATTTAAATTGTCATAAAAATACGAGACAAATCGAAAAAAAATTGTCACTACGCATTAATTTATATCAACTTTAATTTAATATGCTAATAATAAATATGAATATTAGAACTTCTTACATTATTCATAATATAATTTTATTTCGATGACATGGAAAAGAACTTGGGAGATTAAGCGTTTTATGTTGCAATATTGCATTATGTATTAAACGATCGAACCATTAAAAAGGATCACGTTGGTGTCGGGGCATGGTACATTTTGAGCGAACGTCGGTCTTAGAATAAACCGTGTTACGTTATTGTGCATATATTTATGAAATGCCTGGCAGATTACCAAACGGCTCAAGTATCGTCGCGAGCATCGTTGCTGTTATGCAATCATAATGGAATATTTACGAATGTTCGCGTCTGACATGCTGCTTCGCAAAGAAAATGCCATTATTCGTCGTCACTGCAGGCCAATGATCGCGCTATCTATTCCGTCTCTGTAAACAGGATCTTCGTCGCGATATAGATAGAAATTTTTTGGCAAACAACCATCAAAGTATTTTCTATGATCTCATTCCTGTCGTAATGCAAACTTGAAGGGTCTGGCTGCCGGTTTCGTCGACGTCAGTTAGATTTAACTATAATTTCTCTTTGACGCTCTGCCTTTTTCTATAAAGAAAAAGGCAAAGGGATCCGTCTTATCGTTGCATATATATTTGCTTAATTATAAGAGATTAGATTTATATATAATAAATCAGATAAAAGAATAGCCAAATATTTATACATTCGATTTCAACGAGGCTTTAACGGGGCGTTTGCCTCTTTAAAATCGAATAGCAATAAGCATTTTTCGCTTATCTTTTTATCTAATTTATCATCTCGTAAATGAAAGTAAAAAATAATTAGTTCCTCCGTCTATAATTTTAAAAAAACTGTCTGTGCTTAGAAATTAAGCGAAAAGATGAAGTTTAATCGACGCCGGAAAAACCGACTTAGGGTTGATGTAAGAGAGCGGCCGAAGAACAGGGATGGGGGTGTATTATTGACGTGTAAACACCTCGATATATTCAACTTACTTTTGGGACGCCCTACCCCTATAAAAAAAAGAAAGTACATATTCATTAATAAGATCGTGTGATTGATCGTCGCTTACGTAGGACTGCACAAAGCTGCACGTAAATTATAATCGGTATCGCTCGTCTCCATCAACTTGCGCTTCTCATTATTATTATTATTTTTTTTTGTTTTCTGCGCAAAATATAAATCCAAATCGCTCGATTATTGCGAACGATGATCGATTTGCACGAGATTTGGTCGTTTTCAACACTTATTGCAAGCGTGTGTGATCGGTATATATAATCATCTTACTTTCACGATTAAGCGGCTCATCGTTACTTTCCTTCAACAGGGATCTCGTACATAGCGCTTTTGCAAAAATGTTTCGTTGCCCAGTTGCCATAATGCGAACAACAGAGCTAATTAGGCGACAGATATAATGACAGACACGACAAGGGGACAAAGATAGGCGTGGAGAAGTAAAATGCAAGTGAAAGAAATGGGTATACTTTTGCTAATTGCGATTGGGATAACCTGTGTCAAAATGCTTTTGTGTAGATAGTGTCTTGACATGTGTATAATATGTGATATGTTTTATGTGTGTGTATATCATTTGTATGTATTATTACATAGAAAAGCGCGATAGCGTTGTTCTTTTTTTGTTTAACCATCGACGCAATAGCGACACAAGACAAATGCTAGAAAATACACCGGCGGCAAAATATATTTTTCCAAAAATTGAAAGGCAAATAGATATATTGACATTAATTTTTTTGAGAAAATTTTACAAAGAAAAGCTTGGTAGCAATATTTCTCTTTCGTGCGTAAAATTATCACAAAAATGATAAAGTGTGCAAACACTTTTCTATCCCCTTCATATGCCACTATATCCACTATTCGGTGAAAAAAGAAGAATAAAGAAGAAAAAAAATGGAATTTAAAATGGAGTAGAATAAGAGAGGTAGAAAAGAGAAGAAAAGAGAAATAGAGAGAGAGAGAGACAGAGAGAAAGACAGAGAGAAAGACAGAGAGAAAGACAGAGAGAGAAAGAGAGAGAGAGAGCCAGCACAAGTGTATACGCTACAAAAAATTTTATGCAAAAAAAAATTAACGACTGCGGCGGCACAACGCGTGTAAAGCCCGTTCTACATTGATCGCATGTCGCCAGTCGCAAGCAAATCGACCAATCACAGTCGATTATTCCGTCGAATATTCGACTGTGATTGGTCGATTTGCTTGCGACTGGCGACATGCGATCAATGTAGAACGGGCTTAAGAGAACAAAACAAAATAAAGAGAGTGTAAAACAGAGAACGGACGAACAATTAAAAAGACTACACCGAAACAACAAGACAAGACAGCGATTAGATAACGGGAAAAAAAAAAGAAACGACAGTGCGTACACCATTTATATCGGCCGAAAAAAAAGAGAGACGTTTAATATTTGTCGTGTGTAAAAGACTTACTCGGTTTTCTTCTCCGGCTGCCTTCGATTTTGACATTTTTTTGTATCGTACCGCGCGGGCCGATTAGCCGATCGGTCGATGACGAGTGATGGTGGTTGGTTTGATTGATTGATTGATTGGTTGGTTGGTTGGTTGATTGATTGGTTGGTTGGTTGGTTGGTTGGTTTTGTGTGTTGTATGTGGAGATACACACAGACAGAGAGACAGGGAGTGAATAAATAAAAAGAAGAAGGCGGATATGCAAAAAAAAATTAACGACTGCGGCGGCACAACGCGTGTAAAGCCCGTTCTACATTGATCGCATGTCGCCAGTCGCAAGCAAATCGACCAATCACAGTCGAATATTCGACGGAATAATCGACTGTGATTGGTCGATTTGCTTGCGACTGGCGACATGCGATCAATGTAGAACGGGCTTAAGAGAACAAAACAAAATAAAGAGAGTGTAAAACAGAGAACGGACGAACAATTAAAAAGACTACACCGAAACAACAAGACAAGACAGCGATTAGATAACGGGAAAAAAAAAAGAAACGACAGTGCGTACACCATTTATATCGGCCGAAAAAAAAGAGAGACGTTTAATATTTGTCGTGTGTAAAAGACTTACTCGGTTTTCTTCTCCGGCTGCCTTCGATTTTGACATTTTTTTGTATCGTACCGCGCGGGCCGATTAGCCGATCGGTCGATGACGAGTGATGGTGGTTGGTTTGATTGATTGATTGATTGGTTGGTTGGTTGGTTGGTTGGTTTTGTGTGTTGTATGTGGAGATACACACAGACAGAGAGACAGGGAGTGAATAAATAAAAAGAAGAAGGCGGAGTTCATAAATCAGTCATAAAGAGATATCTGGTATATGTGTACGCAAATAAAGCGATTACTTTTTATCGTGCTTTTCTCGCTATTAATTTTTCTTACGTTTGTTGTACAGTTAATTTTAATTCAACTCAATTTTCCGCAGAAGAGATTTGCGCCTGACTGTTCCAAAAAAAAAAAAAAAAAAAAAAAAAAAAAAAAAAAA